ATTACCTACGGTAGATGGCAGTCAGCAAGCCCCCAGTTTGGTAAAGCAGACAGGAGTACTGGTACAGCATCTACTGTCTATAATACTGTGGATAAGTACCTCATACAACCCGACAGTGCTTGATTAACCGCGAGCACAAAGATACCTTTGCCTCTGGTTTTTATTTTATTTTGTCTCAATACATAGCAATCTGTGCAATACTGCAGATGACTGAAGATGTTCTATGATGGGCCAGTCAACACAATAATGGGGCTAACATTACTAAGTTTCCATGCAGCTTAATGTGCGTGCAACAAAACATCATAGGTTGTATACGTTTTGTAACAGAGGCCTACTTATATTAGACAGTCCCATCAGATGCTGCTTTCTATTCGTATGCCAGCACGGAGACTTTATAACTGCAGGTCTAAGTGGAAGATGATGTCGTCAAGTTCACATATGACGCTGCACTAGGACGTTAAAGATTTAAATGCCTTATGTAACCTCATAAATTCATCCTCTCTAACCCCTACTGCAGCTACATAACAGAAAACTAAAATTACCACAGCCATTTAAGTAAAGCTACGTGTAACCACGGTTACAGTGACAACAAAAAAATCAAAAGATCTTTTGCAACTATGCTAAAACACTATAATGTAGCCTTAGAGAAAACACAGACGCAAAATTGAAAATTGATCATGTCATTAAGGCAGGGCTCTTAATCGGGACATTATCAAGAAATCACAAAAAAAGTGCAGTGCCCCGTCCCTCCACAGTCCAGACAGTCACTAATTAAGGTAACACAAAAGAAACACATTAGCATAATCATTCTGAGGTCCTCCTTTGGGTTCAGTAGGCGATCAGGACTTGAATGAGCTGTTCTTAAAACAAGCCCACTGGGTCTTTATTAACAGGCGCAGGTTCTCTTGGCTGGTGAGAGCCACATGGAGGCGGCTTGGGTGAATTAAGCTGCTGTTGTTAGTAGACATGTTGTGAATGGTGGACAGCTTTCTCCTGTTATTAAGGTGGCCATTTGCGCTAGAGGAGCTTGCACACGTTATCCACTTCAATTAGAGTGTGACGGTAATCAATAGGTGCTAGACGCTGAAGAAAAAGCTACACTGAATGGCCTAAATGTCAAGATAAGACATTTGCAGAGACGGCCTGGAATCTGTGGGATAATTCATCAAACACAAAAGTGGGTGCTTACAATAAATGTTGCATCACTGCCTTCACACTGACGGGAATATGCACCATCCTGTATGTTACGTAGTGTAATACCAAACCAGTTGATCTTTTCTACCTACCATTTTCATATTTGTGATGAGCACTCACTGAACCCCCTCATGTGGGTCATACTTTTGTGAACAAACAATGTCATTAAAAAGGTGGCTGTCAGTTTAAACACTGTGCTTAAGGCTTATTATTGGCCTGTAGCCAGGCGGTTTAAATTATAGCTTGTAGTTCAATGTTGTCCTTCCTTTTTGAATGTAATAAGATACAGTTTTCACTGCCCTTTCAGAACACACCTCTATTATGACCTGAATGAAAAGAGGTTATTGCTGTTATCTCTGCCTTTACATTGCATTTTACTTTTATGTCTGACTAAAGCTACCAATCATTTGAATCCCATCATAATCTCTGTTCAGCGTTAATGGCGAAGAGGATGAAAAGCTTATGAGGGGGAAATGTTCAGAAATGCAGAGCTAATTCTAAAATGTAATCAAAAATCTGCCTTGTTAATCATTTCTTTTTAGCCTAACAGAAAATTCTCTAAATTATTGCAGCCATGAGCGTAACTAAGCTTCCTGCTTCCATCCCAGTAATTAAATTCACACAAACAGACCTGCAGTTATATCTGAAGATATCGACAAAAATTGAATACCACACTCAGTTCAGCCTTTTAAGATTACGACAATACTGTAGGTTGGATTGGGACATTAAGGGACATGTTAATTTTTCCCTGTAGCCCTTTGGTGTGACATCTCAGTGATATAATTCAATGTGCATCATTATATTGTTTTGTACGCACATCCAAGCAAAATGACAAAAAAAGGCGCTAGTGTCCCTCTCTGGGAAAGGAATTTTGGTGTCTCTTTAGATTTTGTTCATACTGCACTCACCCAGATACTACTTGAGTGAGACGCAGAAATAAGGACGTGCTGTCTGTCCCTGAGTTTTGAGGCTTTCAGCAGTGACTGAGTGGCACAGAGAGTGCTGTCTCATGTTGCTGAGTGGTCGAGGAGGATGAATCAGCAGCGAGGATGTCGGATCAGACTCTCCATCCTAACATTCTGCTCTCTCATAACCACTGAAACAGTAACTAAAAGTAACTAAACCACACACCGTAAAGTCAATATTGTATATTGTGTAACTGCAACTATTAATGATTTTCATTAATGGTTGATCTCTATACTGGTTCAAAAAATAATGAAAAGTGCCCATTACAGTTGTTAGATGTCTTCAGATCTTTGTCCGAATAATAATCCAAAACAAAAAACAGCCACTATTTTTTTTTATTTGAGAAGCTTGAACCAGAGAATGTTTGGCATCTTTGCTTAATAAATGACTTAATGTATATAATAATAATATTAATATTTCTCCTGAAATAAATAAATATTTAGTGTTTAATAGGACCTCAGTGGTTATGTCAAGCCTGAATGGGAGCTTATCTAATACGACCTGTAACCCCACATAATGTAATGTAAACCTCCTGGTCTTGGAAGTATCACCAGGTCACTGTAGGTAACTAGTTAGTTAGCCAGGCATGCTAGTGTCAGTGGTTTTCATCAGAGCATTTTTTAATCCATTCCTTACACTATCGCTCTTGTGTCTTTGGTTTTGGAAAAGTGATAAACCAGGCACCACCTTTCATACTGGAACTGGATCATGAGGGGCTTTTAGTTCCAAATAAACCATGACTTAGTTAGTAGAACATGTTAAATTAGCTGGTATCCACCTAAAGTAGGACGGCTCTGGAGCTAAGTAAGCTAGATGATGTGTTGATAAATTAGCATGAGATCATTAGCATAATCAGTGGCTGCACATCAGATTCTGCCTTGTAGATATGGAAACCAAGTGAGGGCACAGACACATGTAATTAGTCTGCCTGAATAAAACTCTTTCTGTAAACAATTGGAACTCGGTGCCCATTTGATAAACTGTGAATTAAAGACAGATTGTGTTTACTGTGTGCGCCTATGCTTGCAATTTTTGAGGACAGTACATCTTCTTTCATATCAATAATGTATTGAAATTCCCCAAAAATATTGAATAACAGTAAAACCAGAATGGCAGCTCCACAAAAATATGTTGCATTTTGTTGAACGTGGATGAGCAGATTTAGATTTATTAGTCAAGAATCAATTAGACAAAATGTCAGTATGCTGTATGGTAGTCAGCATCATCCAGAGGAGGATCAGTGTTTACTGGCAACCGCCTCTCAGCCAACCATCCACACTGCTGCTAAATGGATATAAAAAGAGGATGTGATTGATTCCTGCTGGCCTCCCAATTTGCTGTGCTGCAGTCCTCTTCATTAGTAAAACCACTGAGCATAAGAAATCTAAAAACCATATACAACATATATCAATGAGTCAAACATCTCCCACCAGCATTCTTTTCTATAAGTGATTAATTCTGGTATGTCATTCCTTATGCTCTTTAAATGATTATTGAATTGACATACAGTTGGTTGATTTCCAGTCACTTGTCAGTCACGTACCATAACACGCCTCCATAATTATTCTTGGCAGTTTAGTTAAGTATAATTTTTCCACAGAACAGAGCATCAGATCTAATAGTTAGGTGCATTTAGATACACAATAAAAATACTTGTTGTCTACTTTTTGTGTATCTGCTGTAACAGCAGCTTATCAGCATTAAGGTGCACAATGAATCAGTTGTCCCTTTAGTTTCACCTTGATGGTATTTCCAATGTTCATTGTAATAAATGCTAGAATGTTTTCCTATTTGTGATCCCTTGAATCCCAAGCAAAAAAATTGACAGTCCAGGATCACTGCAAGTTATTGTTTGCAATAGACAGACATCAATCAATCAGTCAATCAGGTGATTGATCAATGTTGGTGCTGAAAAATGCTCAAAAACTGTGTTTGTCACCAATTGTTGATTCCTATCACTAATTGCACTGTGCTTCTTTATAAGATAAAGATATTATTTTGCTTTAAGGTACAAAACATTGTTTTGCTTTTACTCATAGAATTGCCTGTGATGGAGATGCTTGTAAAAAAACGTATAAAAGCCCCTGTAAGCTTGGTTTCAAAACCTTTCAGATATTTCTGCACAATATTCAATAACAGGAAATGGTGAGTCAATGTCACCCCATCGCTCCCCAACCAGATGTCATTTTATTAGGCTTAATGTATCAGCATGTTGGCTTAAATTTTTCTTTTGATGCTATGCAGATGATAGACAACTATAAATGTCAACAGTTTCCTTTCTGTTTCTTCTCACAGCAGCCATTTTGACATAAAATAAACACAGATTTTAGCAGTGATATCAATTAAGGTTCTGTTCCATTCAGGTCAAACAGAGTCAGGGTGCTGCTATTGTATACTTTGCCTCACTGGAAAGGCTCTGCTGCACTAAATGGAACAGAACCTTAATTAATTTCATTGCTAACACCTGTGTTTGCCCTGCTATTTCATGTCAAAATGGCTGCTGTGAAAAAGGTCTATTGTTCTGTAAAAATGTGTTTGCATCTTTGCATGTCATCACCCTGTTCTGCCCATTAAACATATTATATGGGAGATATATGTGTTTTGGGAGCACACATAATGCCAGGAGCGGCAGCAGCACAGTAATTACATGTGGACCTGATGCCACAGCTGACCTCCTGGTCACCCCCACACACAGTAATGAGCTCCCTGGGCAGAAGTGACAGCCTTGGCAGAAATCATAACCACCAATCCCGCTGTTACATTTATTGAGTGTCTGAATGGAGGAGGAGAAAGCCTGTTGTTGCTCATTTAACACATTCTGTCTTTTTCTTCTCTTGCAGTTGGAAAGACGTCTCTGATCACACGGTTCATGTATGACAGCTTTGACAACACATATCAGGTAGGTGCAACGGCAGAAACTGAGAGTGAATATTTTGTCTCTAATGATCAATTTTGTCTCTATTGATCAGTTACACTGTGCATTCCATCGATAGTAAAATGTAAAGTTGTACATAAATCAAAGACATAGATCAAACACATAATAATCAATCAAATTAATTCACCAGAAATAACTATTTTGTGTGTGTGTGTGTGTAAAACAAGAAAGTTATAGCCAACATGGATGTTAAAACAGACACCTTTGAACTGAACAACATCAAGAGCGCTGTGGGCCCTCAGGCAATCACTGTTTCTAATCCTGTTCTCCAAAGCAGCCTAATCTCACTCGTCATCCTAAAAACAGAATATTGCTTATGCAGCTAAAGTCCTTATAGAGGTCTTTGCAAGCATCTGCAGGCACACGAAGGACCCTTAAATATAACCTGCAGTATTATTGCTTTATAAGTAGAAAGTCTCTACTTATATAGTAATAAAAAAGGAATTAAAAATAAATCTCACAAAGCTCACCACCCTAATTCTCATATAGTTTGGAGTGTGTGTTTGAGTGTGTGTGTGTGTGTGTGAGTTTGTGTCTTTCAGCTCATGCAGCTTCTTTATTGAGGGAACATACAGTGATATGTGCCTGTGAAATGTGTGAGAAAGCATAAGCAGATTAGCCTAAAAAACACTGAAACACCATCGGTATACGAGAATACTGAGCATGAAAAAAACCAAAGAGGAAACTTTTGTTTTGCTAACCTTCAAGTAAGAATAATATTACCAGTATACCAGTCATTTCAACTTAACGTTTGTGCAAACAAACTGTATGCTCCAGCTGTCGGCTTTTTGAAGTTAAATTGCAATTGAAGATTTATAATATTTAAGATTACTCTGAAGTTTAAATTTCAGAAGTTGTTTGCTTTTTATTTCCGTTAAACTGTTCAGTAATGAGGCAGTATTGTTTCACGTATGTTTGAGTTTTACATACTTTTGAGACATGTTTCTGAAATTTTGGTGGATTATGTGGAAAATATTCTTCTTGACCACACATACAGTTACTGTTGACCCTGACAGTGCAAAGTGTGGTGAAAAGTAACACATTGTGTTTGTAAATGACTAATCAGTAAGTCAAGAAGATAATGCTACATGAATCAATAATAAAAATAATCATTAGTTGCGATGCTAAATGGATGACTGAAAAATAATGTGTACAGTAGGATAGGTGAGTCCATAGAGCCTTTCATGGTGCTAAATGTTTTTGACCAAAACCTGAACTTCACCCTATCCGACTGTACAGTATCTCTATTTTAATTTGAGTTGCTCTCATTTAAAAACATCTGTGAGTTGGAAAAGATATTTCCATCAGGTATAAAACTGGCCAGCACGCATGCTATGAGGCCAGTAGAGTTAATAATGTTCTCCAGCCTCTTGGTCTTTCTTAAAGCTTGAGACATGAAGGCTTCAGTCCCACAAGCCCAAGTGTTAATCTGGCCCTGCCTTTAAATCATCTACAGCGGCCTCTAAAGATTGCCTCAGTTCTTGATCTGAGCTGTCCCTCCTTTTTCCTCACCTCTGCCATCTTCTTTTGCTTTGTGAGAGTTGCACAGCATGGAGAGCATAGGGTTGGAAAGGTTGGACATGGTCAAAATTATTGTTCAGATTGTTAGTTTTTAGTTTTTTATCAATGTTACTACAAAGACATGTCTTCTTTGGCCTCACTGCATACTGCAAAAAAAAAGAAAAACATGTCTCAATTTTTTAGGCTTCACACAAGTACTGTGCTGTGCTGTAATGAGATTTGGTTGGCTCATTGTGTGTGGATTAAATTGTCTGTGTTAGCTCTATGATGCTGTGCTTTCACAGTTGCTGCTGTATCCTCTTATATTTCTACATTCATAAGTCATGAAAGACTACAGAGGCAGACATTTCACACTGACTGTTAGGGCTCATGTCTTTGTGTTGTTAAGCTGCTGCATCTCCATGATGCATAGATGTTTCTTTCCACGTCTCTTTGTCACAAATTGCTGTGGAACAGGCTTATACTTGGGCAGAGTTGGCTGCGGACTCAAAGCCTGGGAAGCAGTTATTATAACAGCTTTTTACACAACATCTTACCTCATATGAGCATCTCAGTGGTGGGGGAAAAAGTGGATCCGTTAATTGATTGTTGTTAAAAAGGGAAGAGTTTTTGCTGGATGATCAGCTGATAGTAGAATGGAGAGATGCCTCTGTATTTTGTAGTCCATTATTAGTATTTCTGAACTCAACAGTGTCAGACCTTGAAATCCTCTGCTCTGTTTCAATCCAGCATTATGCAATATGTTATGTTATGTATGTAGTGAGATTAATATCTTTATAAATAAGGTCTATAATGCATGGATAGTAAACGCAACACAATAATTTCCTGCATCATTTTCACCCGCTCAAGTGCTACTACCTGGAGTGAATGTGGGCGTCTGTTGTTGCCTGCCGTCTGTCTCGTTTCAAGGCCGCTGCTGAAACTCCCATCCTGAATGCAGCTGGATAAATTACGGCTTTGAAATCCAACAGCAGTCAAAGTCGGCACTAAGTGCAGTCATTCTGAGGAGCATGGGGGAATGGGGTTTTCTAGACAAATGGCCGTACGCAGCGGCCTCGTTGGGAGGAGGCCTGGAGCGACAGGGAGCCCTCCTCACCCTCGCTTTTTCAGCCATGTCCTCCCATTGTAAGTGGGCAGGCAGCATGCAAGGCAGACCGATGCCGGACAGATAGCATCTGCTTATTAAATAATGTGTCCATATGCTGTTTAATGTCAGTCTCTGCCCCACGCTATTGTAATGGCCAGTGCACCAAATGACAACAGCAGCCAGGGAGGAATATGAAAATCAGTGTAAAATGAAGTCATTTGAATACACCACTTAGCTCTCCGTCCACAAAACGGCCTCTTCATTCCCTCCTCACAGTCACTTGTTTTTTCAGATAGTGGATTAATGATTTTGTTATGGGTGCCATGACCTCTGCTTTGTAGCCGTAGATCAAAGCCAGTCCCTCCTAAATGTGTGTGTGTGTGTGTGTGTGTGTGTGTGTGTGTGTTGTGTGTGTGTGGTGTGGTGGTTCTCTTCTGTGTGTGCGTGTGTTTGCATGCTGCCCCCCCCTCTACCTCCTGTGTCTTAATACCACTTCTTGTTCCTCCCTGGCTCAGTGACAGGTAGGGCTGTAAATGATTTTGCATTTTTTTTCTAGTTCATCTCCTGAGACCTTTGAGTATTAATTAAAATGCTGCATGCATTAGCTCAGGGTGAGTGTTTATGCTGCTGCTCAGAGGGGAGGCTAGATGTGCCCAGTGAGGAAGGAAAGATGCTCTGAATGTGAGCCTGCGGGAGACATGTGTCCTGATGAGAAGATTTATGAAGTCACGGTTTTCAAGCCTACATACTGAACCGCCACATGTTTTTGTTTTCATGCACGTCAAGCCTTTAGATTTTGAGCAGACCCAGTTCAGCCCTTTGAAGGAAGAGCAGCAGTATATTTAGAAATAAAGGGCGATCGGAAAGATGAAACCGAGCGTGGTAGTGGCTTTAGTCAGCAGGAGGATGACTAAGGCCAGATTTGCTGCCTCTAAAGCAGCAGACTCCCATCAAGCAGCCACCCAGCCGAGGGAGACAGAGGCAGGCGTCCTCACTGCCTGGCAGCACATGCTAAAGGGCTCGGAGCTCTCCAGAGGCAGAATGCTTTTGTCAGCTGTGGTGGAGCTGTCAGTCAGGCCTGGCCACCAGGCTGTGACTGCATCTGTCGGCTCTGCCCAAATACTCAGCTATTTAGTGTAGCAACTGGTGAATCTGATTTATGGGACATTTCAAAAATATATAAACTGTCATGCTTTGTGACAATTTGAAGCCGAGGACAAGACAATAGAGGTGTAACATTTTACAGTCTACTTTTTGTAGTTTAGTTGAATTTTTCATTAGACTACATTTGAAAATGATTTACCTTGCAAACAGTTAATCAACATAATGTAATGTAGCTGTATAACCCTATTTGAGGAAACAGTATAGGATGGAAACAATTGATTAGTTGAAAATTTGATTAATCGGTAATCGTTTGTATTCGTCTTAACTCAGGTTGTCAAAAGTAAAAATAGTTTTCCGATACCACTTGTTAAAAACAATAGCATATCCATTAATTATACATTCGATAGCATTGAAAGTATCTAACAGATCTACAATCAGATTTTCAACCCAAGGCTGCACAGATGAAACCACAGGGACGTCATTATGTGTGACCTTTTCTGTAGCAGCACTGTGTGCAGGTTGTTTATTTTGTGTGCCTAGGACTGTTTTTCTCCTTTCTGTGCTATTGAAAGAGATATTGAGCCTTGTTTTTTTAAAACTAGTATTGTATCAAAATTTTGAAAGTCTGGTATTGTGACAACCTTATATTAGTCTTAACATTCCAGCTCCTCGATTGTGAGGATTTGATTCTTTTTTTATGTATGTAATAGTACATTGAATATCTTGTGGTGTTAGACAATGTCCCTTTGGACTGTAGGAAATTCTGATGGGAATTTTTCCCTATTTTCTGACATTATATAGACCAAACTATGTATTCTTCAAGAAAATAATTTACGATAAAGTTATCATTAGTTTTCAGCCCTAAAACAAGATTTTGTATTTCAACAGTTTAAAGATAGTAGTTATTAAATGGTGACAAATGGGACAAAATAAACTTATTTTAAGATACATTTATATCCTATATAGAACTGAAGCAATTAGTTTAATAATTTATCAGTCAATAAAGACCAAAATAATCTGCAGTAATTTCTTAATTGATCAATTGTTTAAGTCAGTAACACATAGTTTCAACGTCTTAAATGTGAGAATGTGCTGCTTTTCTCAGTGTTATATTGTAAATTCACTGTTGGTCTGATAAAACTGTTAATCGCTTTCAATCTTTCCCTCCATAGATAATCATGATAGTCATGAAAATAGGAAAACAATTGTTAGTTGCAGCCCTAATCCTCTGTTATGTCTTTAGCTGTATTTCAGTGACACTTCTTACTCTGCTGCAACAACCCAAATCTACCCATAATGCTTTGTGACACGAGTAAAGTGAGTTAAATAAAGACTAATTATGAATCTGGCACTACTCATTACTGTGGTTACAAATGTAGCATGCTGTAATTGTTTTGTTCTACATATATTAAAGCCACAGCCTGCTGCTGGACAAAGAAGGCACGATCATAAACCGATTTCCTCTCGTGCTGGCAGGAAACTTTAGATTAATCAGATTTTGTGTGTTAGCAAACTGCTGTCAAATACGGCGCTGTGAGCAAATGCCAGTATACTTACTGTGACTCAAGGTCTGTTGATTTAACAGCGGTCCAGCCAGATGGAGGACCTTGAAAGTCCTGGTGGGAGCAGCAATGGCGGAAGAAGTATTCAGATTCTCTACAAACATAAAAGCAGAAATATAATACAAAACAAGTTCACAATGCTGCTGTTAATTAAGTTATGTGCAGTGATTAAAGCAAAAACTAGGCATTTCTATCTAGGTTAAATGTGATCCAGTTTGTATTACACTGCAGGCCTCATGCTCCATGACCTCCTCACAGGTGAACCCTGAGTAGTGACCAGTGGAGTATGTGCTCAGTATAAAGCCATGGGCTGGTAGACAGTTTCCACATTCAAGATCCTATTACTTCCTTTCAGAATTCAGTGGAATTAATGGTGTTCTAGTGAACTACATTTACTGTCTGAATGTAAATATTTAATAAACTGAAATAATGTTATGGCTAAATCAGAAGGGGAGCAGTTTTGTTCTGGTATTGCTCAACATACCCTTCCCATGTGTCAGTCCGATAGTGTTACTTGTGCATCCATTTTCATACAGTTGAACAGTATTTGTCCTGGAACGTCTCACATTATCTTATTGTGATTTCCTTCATTTGTGTTTGTTTTTTTTAAATGTAATGGAATGAAACATGTGTGACTGTTGCAGATACCTATATATAATTAGTAATCAGAATTGACCACTGCACACTGGAATAACTTGACTGTGATTTTATTTAAGAGCGTTTTATAGTGGAAGATGTCTATTATATTTTGTATTTTTACAAAATATATATTTAAGTGACATTTTTAAATGTCATTTTATCCGACCAACAGTCCAAAACCCAAAGCTTTTCATTTTTGCAATGATATATGACAATGAAAAGCATCTCATCCTTACCTTTAAGAAGCTGCTACCAGCGGATGTTTGACTTGAGATATATCAAAACTGATTGCAGATACATTTTCTGTCTATTGAGTAATACATTAATCAGTTAACTGTTTTTGGCCACAGCCATAATTTTTTAATGTATCATCAATGTCCCGTGATGTCCCCACACCTCAAAATTAGTTCATTTAATGATGATTTCACATGTGGAAAACCAATTTTAATTTAAAATATAATGTGAGTGAAATGCGTCAGATGTGCTAAAAGCATTTTTTGCCCTAGTCCCTTGCAGAATGGGCCAGAGAGCTGTGAGAGGTCTGTCCTCTAACAATGTGCGCTGTTAAAAAATTTAAAAGGAATATTAATAATTTCTGGTGATCTAATCTGTTCATGTATAGCTGTCTGTGTGGGATTCTATATTTAAAACTGGGGCCAGAAAGAGCCCACACAGCACCTCTGCCTTCCCCCAAGAAAAACTCCTGCAACATTTCTGTGCTTTAAATTCATTTAAGCTATTGTGTCATTAATATCCCTCCAGATCAGCAATTTTCAATGTTCAGAACTTAGTGTGTGCTGTTGTCATTGGTTAATTTAACATATTAGTGCTTTTAACCTCTATGCATTCAAGTGACAGAAAGACATAAAGTTGTAAAATACTTTTAAAGCATATTCTGCCAGAATAAATAGGAGATTTATTTTGGAAGTTAGCATAATCCACCTGTCTGTTTGGAGGCTAATACAGCCAAAAAAAAAAGTCACTCACTATAATCTTGAATCAAGTACTTTTATATTTGAATTCGTTGAGGCTGTTTATTTTCACCCTAGCTGTGCTTGATCTGACTGAGTGTAAAGGAAGAGTATAAATGACGTCCTGTCTTCATGCCAGACTCTCTGAGTGAGTTCACTGTGGTAGCTGGCATCGCCAAGGAAACGGGTGCGTGATCAAGCTGCTGATGCCCAGTTCTGTCAAAGTGGGCAGTGGGCACCCTGCTTGGAACACAACAGATACACCCACCTGCTTAATCACAGATGGGTACAAATGTATCAAAATGTATCTTAGTACAAATAAAATGCATGTATATAACTTAATAAACTGCGTCGCCTGTAGTTAGGTAAGTCCCTGTCAGCCCTTTCTACAGTACGTGCTCTAGCTGGCCAGTGCTTTAGTTTGCAGGCTGGGGTCACACAGGCTTTTAACATGCAGCTGGGGACTGCTGTTTAATCCTGGGTCGGTCCTACGCACAGCTACATTCGAGCCCTACACCCTCGTTCCCTCACACCTTCACTGAGACACCCAACATCTGGAGTACCAAATGAAAGGGGCACAAACTACATCTGCTTTCACCAGCTGTCCTTAAAAGTGTCTGAACTCTCATAATTCATCTTTTGTTCTTAAAAATATTTAAGGTGCATACTGTCTAGGAAGATTTCCAACTGTGACTGCAAAACACTAATAGAATAGTTACTGCTAATACTGAATTTCATCAGAATGACAATATTTCAGGAGCACTGTAATGTTGAAAAAAGCCATCTTCTAATTGTGAGACCTGAACGTTTCTGGCATCAGTAAAACAAACCTAGATCTGCAGTTTAACATTAATTTCTAGGTTTTGATTTGTCCAAGCCAGAGCACCTGATGATATCATGGCAGGCAGCAAAGCAGAAAGCCGTGGGCTTGGCTGCACAAAGTAAACATCCATTGAAAAGGGAACACAGTGCCATCTGCCTCGTGACACAATAAGGGAATGATTAGATTGCTGTTATAAATGGATAATGTGGGATGATAAGAGTCATGATTTTAAGTAGCCCATTTGAGTATAACAGTATAAAAACCCAGACAAAATACACAACATATTTAAAAAAAATACAGTTGTCCTGATTATTGAAGTGGAATATTTGCACAGTAATGGCTGTATAGCTGAGACTGTAGCCTGCTCCAATTTAAAAACTGACTGCCTCTGATGTTGAATCAACAATTAGCTAAAACTGAACATTATAAGCTTCATAAAAGCTTCATGTTTTGCAGTACTAAATTTAATTATATATTACACCCAACCCACACTTGGGGTGATGTGATGTGTGTCCTTCTCTTCACCTTTTGCATCTGTAACTTGCATTATTGAGATCTTTAGTAAATACTCTGTCCTTTGCTATCCAATGTATTTACAGTGATGTTGATGCTTTATCTTCTTTCCCTAAACTAGGCCACAATTGGAATTGACTTCCTGTCGAAAACCATGTACTTGGAAGATCGAACGGTAAGATCCTCACTTACAGTTGTATACTAATGTCACGGCAAGCATGTAAAATATAATGTGTCAGCAGTGCAGTAACTCCTTATTTCAGATAGAAACACACATTAGAAATGTTTATCACTACAATAAGGCATGCTCTGAACCCTTATGAACAGTATGTCGTCTTTCTAGCTTGTGTTATGTAGATGAATACAGTCAAACATGTCTGCATGTCTGTTTATCTTGGGGAATCTTTCATACAGCCCTACGACCTTGGAAGTGTCATTATGAGGCATCCACTCATATAAATAATGCCTGAGTGTGAATCTTGTGCTGTGTACATTCATATTTTATTGCTTGTGTTTATGACAGTATACGTGTTGTGTAAGCATGTGTTGTGCGTGTGTGTGTGTGTTGAGGGAGCCTTCTGCTTCCAGGCTCTCTGACTATCTGAATAATCTCAGCCTCCTCAGCTTTCTCTTTCTGAACCCCAGGTGAGGTTGCAGCTCTGGGACACAGCAGGACAAGAGCGCTTCAGGAGCCTCATTCCCAGTTATATACGGGACTCCACTGTGGCTGTGGTGGTCTACGACATTACAAGTCAGTGTCCCTTATGAAATAATTGATAATTAATAATTAATATTAATCTTTTCTTTCTGTTATACATGCATGTATTCATCTGTAATCAATTTACTGTCAACACACATAGTCAGAGTTCTTTTCACTCTAACTCTGAGAGCCTCGGCCAAAAACTTCACTGTCTGATGGATGGATTAGATGGATTACCCTGATTACCGAAATCCAAACTGAGATTTCACAAATATCCAATATCTCTTATATTTCCCATAAGCAAATTTGATCCACTGCGCAAATAGATGAGACTTATTGCATTAACCTTCCACCATCTCAGATTCTCTTTAAAGTCTCTCTTGTGTAACATTGAGGAGGATATATTGGCAGAAATGGAATAAAATATTCATAGGTATATTTTCATTGTGGTTTCATTACCTTAGAATGAGCAGTTTTTATCTACAGACACGTGAGTCGCCTTCCCTGGCATCCAACAAGTTTCTACAGTAGCCTAAATTGGACAAACCAAAGACTGGCTGTAGATAGAGCCTTTTGCATTTTTCAGGAGTTTCACGTACACCGTAGTTTGTCCTATAAACTTGAGCACATTCCCATTCAGAGGTCGTCAAATATGAGCAGTGTTCAGTTTGTTTTAGTCTGCAACTTCATCGCTATATCCCACTAAATCCTACACACTGGTCCTTTAAGTCCAACTGAAACGGCATTTATATTTTTTGTCTGCTCCATCATACATACATGCTCTGGAAACCCCTTGTTCTGTGTTCTTTTGTGAGAAAAATTACAAACAGAAAGGGAGAAATGTCAATTTAATTTTTTTGGTTCGATGATGGCGCCTCTAATCTTGCATTAATTAATCAGACCATTAGGTATCCATATACATAAAAAAGGGACCTCAATACAGCCAATCAAATGTTGCATAAGGCAGTAAAGTCCATGTTCTATCACAGGCAAAGCAGACAGTCACACTAAGACAGACAGAAGCTACACAACACAATATCCAAAGACTAACTTACAAACATGAACGCACGTCTTGCCCTGCACCTTAGCTTGTTTAACAATTGACCAAATGAACAGTCTCCGGGGAAAACTGCATCAGGCTAGATAGCTACTTAGCTGCCCCGCTGCAGCACATTAAACAGCATGTAAACATACCTGCAAATGTCAATTTGGTCCCAACATGTAGGTGTACGCTTGTTTACGTGTTCAGTCCTGGAGTTAAGCCTGCTGGCTGATGTCAAGCAAACACAGACACAACAAGACAAGACCCCTTTTCTTCCTTTTAATAATAAAAACAATTTACAATACATTAAAAAAAGCACATTAACATTATTTTTGACTGCAAAAAATGGACGACTAAGTGTGCTTTCTGGACTGAACCAGTAACCATCACTGTCTACCAATGGGAAGAACAATTTTGGTGTGTTACAGACACACAAACAAAGGGGCCTTACAGACACCATTTATCCTGTAAACAGTAGTATTCAACTGTAGTATTTGGAGGCTGGCCCTTGCTCATTCACATTGATAAAACCATGTCATTTATTTCTAGTTGGATTTATGAGGAATGTCTATCATTTTCAGAAAAGACAGAAAGTGACATTATTCTCCTGTTCTATTAAATCACTTAAAGGAGCAGAGACACGAATTGAGAGGAACTACATTTTATTGCTGATTGTAAGGAATAATATGGGTTACCATCCCCCCAAACCCTGTTCTTTTTTTCACCTTGAAAAAGACATGGGGTCTGTCTCATCCAATTTCCAGTTCAAGACTACAATACAGCCCTTACATACAGCCCTTAATACAGTTTCATATTCAATGGACATGGCAAGGTCGAAAGGAGTAACTTTGACAAGCTACAGAGTTCGGCATGTACAGTATAACATGGATTTATTGTGTAATTCCAGTACTGCGTATCATAGAGTATCATCTATCAGATAATATCTGTTTAATATGATCCACCACCTGGGATTTTTTGCATTAATAATCATCAGCACCATGTCCTGCAAAGCGTTTTTCATTTCCTGCCAGCTGTTATAAAAACACCAATCATGTCACTGTGTAAAAATGCAGTTGAAATGTTAATGGTTGTGTTTAGAGCAGTAACAGCTGGAGAGGTGTCAGCATATTGAATGTCACTGCAATTGTACAAACAGCATCTTTAATTTGACTCCACAGATGTTAATTCATTCCAGCAGACGTCAAAATGGATCGAGGATGTGAGAACAGAGAGAGGAAGTGATGTCATCATAATGCTTGTGGGCAATAAAACAGACCTGGCAGATAAGAGGTAAGTAGTTACTGCTGGACTTGCCTCCTGACGTCTGTACTTGCATTTTGTCATTTTAGTCAGCATTTCCTTTTATGTATTGACTCCATGGCAACTATGATGTGCAAAGTGTCTGCCTGTGTGTCAGTCTGTAGGATTGTTCAGTTGAGCACAAGACCTCGAGAACAAAAACATGATGAAAACATCAGGCTGACTCCCCTGCAGAGGAGATGATTTGATTAGATGTCGGAGCATCTTTGTGAATAAATCTGTGTATTAATGAGATAGAACTTATTATCTTGAGACCAATATAACTCCTAATCCTTGAACTATATGAATTCAATATGAACACCACCACAATGTTATAGAAAGACTTGTATGAGAAATGAATGTTTGCTACATTATATATCAGATATCTAAATGAATACGCTTATTAGTTGTGTGTATGTTGTTATTAGTAATGATGGAGGTACATTAAGCAACTCAACTACTCTTATTGCTTTGAAATGAGAAAATTATTCAGTGATTTAGCCCCTGGTGTTCACAATTATTTTTTCGTATATACATATGTATACACATGTATGTATATAACTGATACGGCTCTGTACTGAGGTGAAAAAAGGCTGATGGAACTGGATGTTTAATAAAGCTGAGATGGAAACAGAAATTGATTTGAAAAGGGAATGCTTGGATAATCAGGGTAAAAAATGAAATGATATGAAGCAGAAATGTATAATAGTGGAAGAATAGAGGAAAGTAAAGGGAGAATTGAACCATAAAATGGCTTGTGTCCTTGTGCCAAAATGCATTAATAATGCATAATATGCAGTATGTTTAAAATCTTTGCTTGAGATTAGGTAGATTACAAAGCAATCAGTAAAATGTGAAACTGATATGGGAAACACCCCTGTACCCCAGAGAGAATGGTTGCTGCTTTGGCTACAGCTAATGAGGATTCTCATAAATGAAAAATTACCTCCTGGCAAATTCTCGTCAAGTTCTAATGTTACCTCCTTTTTCACATAAAAGTCATTTTACTGACATCCTTAACACCCGAACCTCTGCTGACTGGCTGCTGATGCACTGAGCAAAAACTGAAATCATCGTCTCTGTCCCTTGGTGAGGTTTACACTCACTAACATGCTAAACTAAGTTGGTGAACATTTTAAACGTTATACATGTTAGCATGCTGACGTCAGCATTTATCTCAAAGCACCACTGTTGCTGCTTGCATGGCTGTAGACTCTTAGTCTTGTTTTAGTAATTACTTATTTTCTTTCTTGTGAAACACACATTTCTGGACCTTTGATGTAATTTTCTTAAAATTAACTTCAGTGATCAAGTACACTACTATCATATACAAGTAATTGGCATGTGCAGTGAGTTTTGTATCTGAGTAAAATGCACGGATATCTAAGTACGCGTGCTTTAGTTCTCATTATACATTAAGAGTACTCATTCGTTGGTATTAGTAGCATATTTCTGAGTTACATTAATCAGGCTGACAAACACTGGTTGTGGTCTATTAATCTATCTTCCTTCTGTAATATTGCTGTTCTGCATTCTTCAGTAATGACAGCCCTCTGGGACATCCTTTGGACAGCTGTTTTGGTTTCTCGTCTATGTCTTTGGTGAAGATGGTTCCCAGATCAAGACTGTTGAAACAGCTGCTTTCTAGTCTGGTTGACTGATCTTGGTGTCATTTTAAGAAAACAGTGGACCAACATGGTTGACAGTGATAGTGTGGTAACGTGGCGTGGAGTGATTCGGGGTGGCCTATACGTCCCGTTCTCTTTCTTGTCTTTCCACCCGTCGTTACATGCAGCTACTACTGAATGTCAGGTTTGTAAAAAGTGTTTAGGAGAGCATTTTCACAAATAATGTTTCCTCGTGTGGTGGGTAACCATGCAAAGGTTCTGCACACATATGCATCAATGTAATCGGTATCGTCAGCATTATTCGCCCATGTGCTAACAATAACATTTGCAACATTAACACCGGGAGGACATACTTGTCGCAGCTGCATGAAGAAATTCCCATCGGCATAGGTGTGTCTTAATTGAAATTTAGTTGGGTCTTAATCTTAATCTTAAGTCAAACATAGTGATGCTCTTCATGTAAATGGGGTTGCACAAGCCAGTGACACATTAGGAGATGATAAATGCTGCCGCCACTATGTGTACTGTTACGTGTGTTCAGTGGCTCCGGTGATGCTGCCCAAGAGACAGTAACCGTCAAATTCATCCGATAATAATAATAATAATATAATTTTTTTTGGATCCACTATGTGACAATGTAGAAATATACATCTAATGATGAAGAACAAGTAGTGCATGTGCATCATATGTCAGTCTCTAATGAAATGATTTGGCACATGATCAGACAGCACTGTAGATAATGTAGCTGATATTGAAAAATTAGTTATTAAAGTCATTAAACGTCTGGCAGCGATATAATGTGACATCTCGAATCAGTTTCTAGGTGGCTGTGTGTGTCTGGACCTTTTAAAAACATCTTAACATAAGTCAGTGATGCAATTTCGTTACATTGTCTTACACTGTATCAGCACTGACACATCTAACCCTACCTTTGACGTTACCTGAGAAGAAGCAGAGATTCATGGGTATTGCATTACTGTGACGTGCTGCAATTTGCTTTAGAGAAGGCACCTCTGTGAGCTGGCCTCTCTCTGTTTGTTGGTGTGTCCATTCATGCGTGGTGGAGCCTTTCAGTACCGAGGGACGTTCAACTATGCACAATATAGGTGCTGCAGAGTTCCTGGAGTCTTGCATAAGGGAAATGTAGTGTGTATCGTACACCAGGCAGACCATCGTACATCAACCAAGTGGAGCCTGATGTGCTTTATACTGACAGGAAGTAGTTAAGTCAGTGTTTAAATTGAGTATCTCGTTCAGCTATTTTCTTCTTTTCTTCCACGCTGCTACTACAATACCTTGGTGTGAAGTGAGCTTTAAACTCATATACTTTCATTTAATATTATCAGCCTCAATAAACTTGAGCCTTCACATGGGCTCGAGGTGATTTATCAGATAGCCCCAGTAGCTCACCTAGTAGAGTGTACGTCCCATGTACCAATGCAGCGACCTGGGATTGATTCCAGCCCGCAGCCCTTTGCTGCATCTCCTCTCTCTCTCCCCCATTCCTATCTGTCTTCAGATCAAACTGTCATCAAATAAAGGCAAGCCCCCACAAAAAAATTATAAATAAAGAAAATTATTTCTAGAAAATTATTTCTATGATCCTCAAATATATTGTCATATTTCTAATATATAGGGTAGACAAACCGATACACGCCGAACACCCGAACACATATTATAAAATATCCATGTAATGAATACCACTCTGTTGAAGCATATGTTAAACCTGCGTAAATTGATTTGATTGATTGATTATTTTGGCCACTTGGGGGCAGCACCGCTGTAAACACAACACTGGCACTTTATAACTTTATAAAGTTGTTATGATGAATGTGTTCCACATCGAGTTGAACCAGAGCATCAATAGCTTTCACTTGATATTGTGTTTTTGGCCACCTGGCAAATGTAAGTCCAATACTCACCGATCTTTTAGCTCTGCTTTGGTCTACACTGAACCCTGAGGGAAATATCTGGCTCCTTTGCAGCTAAATGCTCCACTATGTTCACCAGCTAGTAGCTCTCTGTGTCTGCTGTTTGATTCTGCTGATGCTGAACCAAAGCATTAAAGCTGGGAGACATAAAACCAAAACAATGATCTTAAAGACACTAAAAAACTGTACTCTAGAAACTGTAGAGAGCAGCTTCAGAGTTGAGTGATAATTCTCTGTGGGTTTGTTACTAAGGGCGACACCTTTTCCACTACATGAAGTAATTTGATTCATTAATAATATAAAAATTGCTTTAATGGACAAATAAAATATATTGTAAAAATAAAAGAATGATTTGATTATGAAATTGATTATTTTGTTAACTTTGTTGTTGAGTTCATAATGACCACAGATAGTAATGGTACAACTCCCTTATTTGCATATAATGTTAAAGAGCTATGATCACCAGTGGCCTGCTAACATGCATGAAAGTTGCTAGGATGCCACATATTGGTGTGCATTCATTATGCAATACCTTGCCAACTGCCTGTCTGATGATGAATGAGGCTTGGTGTAGTTTAAGTTGGAACTCAGACACATGCATCCAGAAATAGCCACAGTGGCACTGGTGCAACTCTGTCAGGTGGTGTTATTATGTAAATACATCTCCAGTGCAGTGTTTTCTGTTCTCGCTGCAGAAACTTCTTTTCTTTTCTCACAAAGACTGAATTTCTCTTTCTTTTGTGCAGTGATGCAAAGGAGTTATTTAAGGAGAGGAGGATCAGTTAAATTTAATGCTGCTCTGTTTGATGCTTTGCACAACAGAATAACTTGTCGATAGATGTTGAGACACACCACTTAAGAGCTAGTGGAAAGTAAAGAAGTAGTATTTTTGAGTTAGTACACAGCTAAGATTCCCTTTGTGTCGAGAGGAACAAAGAAGACGGACTGGTTACGTCATGGATTTCCCAGAAGACCAGTGGCAGGTTGATTTAAGCCAGTCGTCTTAACGAACCTGCTGGCTGTGCGCGCTGTGGAGTCAGCAGCACTGCACCGATCTCTCTGTTTGTGTTTATGGGCACCTGACACAGTCTCCATTTCACAGCCAGAGCCAAACAATCACTGCCTGATTCATTAAAATGTAATGCAAATTGGCTGTTAATAATTTCTTGCAGGACAATGTAATTAATCATTCTCAGTCATTAGTTAATTAAGTCTGGTGTATCCTCACTAGCCCAGAATAACAAGAGCCTTTACTGTGAGTCTTTGTTGAGTGTTAATATGAGAGCATCAGCCACTGTTTTATGTCTGTATTCTGTAAACGGTCTATCAATATGTCTGATGTATTAATCTGCAGGGTTTTGATGATATTTTCCTTTATTTCACAGGCAAATTACAATTGAGGAAGGTGAACAGAGGGCTAAAGAGCTGAGTGTCATGTTCATAGAGACCAGTGCCAAGACGGGTTATAACGTCAAACAGGTGAGTTCAGAGTAACCTTTCTGATGTCCAACAATTTCTGTAACTTTCTAAAATCGACAATCCGATCTTCAGACCCACGTCATGCCGCAATTGGCCAGGTGTGTTACTTTTGTCACTTTTCACGTGCTCAATCAGGAGAAAGAAATATGCGCCGTTATTCCCATATTTAACAATTAGATTCGTGTCTCCTTGCACTCTACTGTCACGGCCAGCTTTTCCCCCTGCCTTTGAGTCTGGTCAGCTATAAACACTCTTGCCCTTCGACATGATTGGACTGCAAACTAGTTCCTTTTGAGTATACGCCAGCGATTCTTCTTCACTGCCTAAAGAATGAAACTGGCAGCAGGAAGGTTTAAGTGCTTGTGCGTGTGCATCCTTGTGTGCATGCCCCAGATATAAACAAAACAAGGACCCACTCATCAAAAGATTGCTATATATCGATACTAGTGGTCACACAACTCCACAGGGAACCATTAAAGGTCTCTTATTGTTCATACAAATACCACTCATTGAAGCAGAGTTAAACACAGGTGAGAGTCCAGTATTTCTTGCTGCCACTACTAGCACCTCGCCAAGACTGAATTGTGCTTGCATTCATTCCTTTTAGTCACATTTAATTAGTAACTCTTCCAGATACAAAGAACAGCGTTGCCTGGTTCAACAGCAGTGATTTGTTTCTGAACAGATGTTTGTGGTCGAAAACAACGACTGTCTGTTAAGTTAATAAGTAGTGAGATGAAGGCCAGCTGTATTGTGTCTGTCAGTGAATGGTGTTGCTGGCAGGCGCCTCTCTCAGCCCGTTGCAGCACAGACAGAGGAAGCCATTCTTCACATTACTTCAGGACTGTGACTGACAGGATGGAGCATAGTGGTGCGAAATCTGCAAAACAAAGGTCACAGCACTGCCTCCAAAGGCTGCTGTGTCATCACTGCCCACTGACATGTTGAGTCAGCAAATTTAAGCTTTGAGGCATCAGTTTCAAGATCTTTCATGAGAATGAATATGTAATGTAATAAGACTACACATTGGCCGTATTTTTTATATAATTAAGTTAATTCATTATGTGTTTAGCCACAATGAAGATTCATTTTTGTTTTCCATTGTTGTTTCAATCTTTACGCAGACTGGATTTTACTGGATATGACCCAAAATATCAGTAAATCAGTCTGCTTTTACAACTGCATTAAAACATGACAATAATTTAACTGTGAAACAACAAACACAGGCACATAGATTATGGAATTACATCAAAGCAATCACAAAGGACAAAGTTTGATGATGTGTGAAGTAGCGTGGGATCATGGGAGTTGTCTTCACCACCATTGCTGTCATTGTAGTCCGAAATTGTAGGATTTATTCTCTGCAGAGGTCTCCTCCTCTCTGAAATAACCAGACCCACTGACTGAAAACTGTAAAAATCAGTGTTTCTCCCACACTGTGCAGTGAACAAACTATGTCCTGGAGGGCCTCAGCTTGTTTCTCTGATAACTTAAGTCGTCTGATGACTAAAATCCTTCATCCAATTAAAATATATAGTTAAAAGATCTAAAAAGTGCATCGTTAAAAATTGTCACACATATGCACTACAGATACAAATAAAGATTTCTGTGGGTTTGAACATTGTTGGAAACATTTGGGATAATGTAAGTACACAACTCATGTAACAAAATATATAACATAGGTCTTGAGTTTATGGAGATTCTAATGTGGAAATGTTACATATTATATCTAATATATCTAAGATCTCTAAAAAAAGATATTTTATTATGTGTATCCTTGATTGAAGTGCCCTCATTCTGTTTGTTTCTTTCCAGCTGTTTCGGCGTGTGGCAGCTGCTCTCCCAGGAATGGAAAGTATGCAAGAAACGAGCAAAGAAGGGAGTATCCTTTTGACCCATTTACATTTAATGAAAATTGTCTTTTATAATTATAATAATAATATGTGCACAGCATATTAATAAGCTCAGAGGAATCATTTTCTCATTTGAGTCTCGATGTGATAGCGTCACTCACTGCTCGCTGCTAAATGAAAGTGTTTCAGGAGTGAATACTGGCACCTATTTAAACAGGTGTCAGCTACCTGTCCAATTAAATGTGTTCCCAGCACGACACTCCTTCTATCTGTTTTTCAGCACTGGTGCCTGACAAGTGCAGGAGTGGGCGGCTGGTCAGTCAGACAGTAGGCACCTGCAGTTTTGTCTATGGTGGGTGGGCAGGTTTGCTCATTTACACCAGTGACGGGAGTCCCAGTCTGCTGCACCCAACTCTGCTAACTGGCACCTCATATGTGCTGCTGTCAAATGTCACAGCTCTGCCTGTCAGGGGCTGCAGCCTTTACTTTTTTCACTCTCATGAAACAATATTCAAACATTGTATTCTTCAGGAAGCAGCATTTAATATTTCAAAATATATGACATATCATTGAGAGCATTTTAGATTATAAACACACACAGTGTATAATTTGTTTGTTTTGATTACATTTAAGGACTCAATGTGCTCTCTGGAATATTAACACAACACAGAGAGATGCATGTGTTGATATCTGGTGTCAAAGGAGATAAATACAGCAGCTGAGACAGATTTTATCTCTAATTTTCATCAGGAACTCAAGAGAAGCCTCAGGCTGTCTGGTCTCCTCTCACACTCCTGCATTGATTTTTACATCTGTAAATATATCCAATGTGGGTAACAATAAGGCAGCCTACACTTCACACTCTTTTAGATTAGGTTTTCTTCAGTTAAAGAGGCATTTCACGCATAATATAGCTGCTCTCCACTTTGGTTGGTTTGATTTACAAACAAAGCTTTTTACTCATTAGACCATCTTTTGATTGAAACCCCCTACAGTTCTGTATTTACTATAATATAAGCATTTAAAACTCTTCTCATTTTAATACTGATGATTCTACATTACTGACATGAACAATCAAGACCATCAGCGAGAAGATTGGCTATTTCTTTAAAGTTATTCTTAAAAGTGTAGTGTGTAGGATTTAGTGGCATCCAGCGGTGCAGAAACCCATGAAAAACATGACCGGCCTTATCTAGAGGGAGTTTATGGATTGTCCGTTCTGGGCTACTGTAGAGACATGACAGCCTGCACAGAAGGCAATCTCCGGCAGTAAGATAAAACCTCATACTAAGGTAACAAAACACAAAGATTCCTGTATTCAGGTGATTATACACTAATGAAAACGTACTTATATTCGACTTTTGACAATAGGTCTTCGTAAATGTGACACACTGGACCTTTAATGCCTGCCAGCAGGCACCTAGGCTTGGATTTTGTCAGATTCCCCTTGAAATCAATGAAATGAGGCAGTAAAAACACTACAGTCTTTATCCACAGGGGATCAACACAAAATGAAAATTCCTTGTAGGTGTTTTAATAAGATTATTTTGATACAGTATTCTTCTGGGAAGCTTTATACTATCCTATTTGTATAGATTTTTTAAAAGAGAATAATTCCAAAGGTGATTAAAAGAACCACATCACCAATATTGTTATACAAGGCCATTATTATTTTACCACATGCATGTAGCGCTGTTGTTACTCCGTCAGTGTGAAGCCTTCTCACTGTCCAACGCCCCAACGTAAACATAAATCAGATGCTGGCCTTGGTGTAGTGAAGGAATGCCTACATTTGTCTCCCTGTGCATTTCTGATTATAGCCCACTCATCATTTACTGGGAGTGTGCAGCCTGTGCAAACCGCATGGGCTCAATAATAAACTCAGTAACCCAGCATCCCTCTGAACTGTTGAGATCACCCCCTTTGCTTTTTATAGCAATAAGCCATATTTCCTGTTTATAATGCATCTCTCACATTTAGCCAATTACCTTTTATCTCTCTGTTTTTAATCTCAATCTTAAAGAGGCATCATGTTTGTGGGAGTGGGCTGTGCGAGGTGGAGGTGTGGTGATGGATGGCAGGTGGTGACAGTTCCTCAGCAGCTCTGTGCCTCTGCTGACATTGTCATTTAATGGAGCAGCTCCTCTGTTGTTATTGCATTGTGGATAGTATTGACTAACGTCAAGACACATACATGCATGTTATATAGCCTGAAAGTGCACCTGCACTTTTAATAAGCATGGTGCGATGGATATTTATGTTCTTCTTCATATTAAGCTGCCATTCAATCCTATGGGGCGCAGTCTTCTGCTTTCTCTCTGAAAACAATTTCCTACTGAGTCTCTGGGTATGATCACCACTGCAGGTCTGCAGAGAGAGACAGAGTGAAGAGGGTGCTTGAAGCAGATCAAGTGCTGGGGCCATCCATGATAATAAGAGAGTCAGAAAGCAAAATAAACCATTGCAGACTCATGTTGATGAGGCAAAGGCAAACAAATCAAAGAATGACGTGTACGTTACATCCTACAGAGGTGTTTCCTTCCTTTTCCCACTCTCTTTTTCCTTTCCTTTCCTTTCCATTCCTTCCCCTCTTTTTCAAACTACTTGGTGGCGGACTTCAACCTTCTTGAAAAGGTTGCCACTGGGTTGATATCCAAGTCTTTCACTTTCATAATGTTTAAAGGTTGGTGTGTTTCTTGGTGTTAAAACCCCCAAATGAGACATATATTCCAGAATGTACAGTGTACAGTATATATCGTAAAATACAGCTACAGAGGATAGACCCCATAGAATCGGCTAAATATGCACCAAAGAAATGTGTTATATAGGCATATTGGTATTGGTATTGGTCTGTTGATTCATAAAGCGCCTCTGTTAAATATTTTTATTAACAGTGGGCAAAGTGACAGTGTGTAAAGTGAAAAGGGCTGCTCATAGTGATGAACCCACAGATAATTATCACCAAATTCTGCTGTTCCCCTCAGCTCTACAGAGCATTTTAGCATCTTGCAGCTCATGATTTAGAGTTTATGGCTTCACTGTTTTGATCCACAGCTCCCATCAGCATTGTTTCCAGGATTGGTGCTCTGTGTGCAAGTGAATAAACTGGAGTATTTAGCAGCTAGAGAGCCAAATATTTACTTTAAGAGTTGAGGAGACCAAACAGAGCTAAAATGGGAATATCGAAGTTACATTCATTAGTTGGACAGAAACAGGACTGAAAAATTAAAGCTTAAGTTTGTCTGTATCAGCTGGATGTGTAAATTTCCAGCTCCAGTGAATCACATTCACTATATCAACTTTATAAAGTGGTATGTCAGTGTTGTTTTCACAGCTTGTTGCGCTGACCCCAAGTGGCCAAAGAAATTTATTCATGTAGTTTTAACGTATGATTTCTGGTTATTGAAATTTCCTCTGGCTGGTGTCAAAGGAGATAAATACAGCAGCTGGAAGATGTTTATTGTAGTTCTAAGCCATACATCTATTGCTAAAAGTCATTACAAGCTGTTAACTTCATGAACAACTTTTCTATACCCCTACAATATGAAACAAATGTTATTTTATTAAAAATACATCTACTAGTGGCACAATAACAGGACTCATTACTCACTGTTCAGGAGACTGTTTGACATACACACACAGGTATCAGAGGACTAAGATATTCAGGACTGGGGCTGCTCATTTGGTTTGGTAATGTTAGCTGCTGAAATAAGGTTCCAGATGGGAACCAATCCAAACAGGAAGGCTCAAGTATATGTTTGCATTTAAAGACTGTCCTTCAAATGTTCCCACGTCACGCTACCATAAAATATGAAAACACATCAACTGCTCTGTCTAACAGCCGGTGTAGTATAGCCACAGTGGGACTGTTTCCAGACTCACTTACATACAATATGTAGGCCACAGTTTTTGTAGCCCCCTATGTTTATAATGAGCCTGCTGCTGCAGCAGTATTATATGGAAGCATTGACAAGCATTCAGTCATGATACACTTCTTGTCTCTTTAAAACAGAAGAGGTCTGCCCCTCATTCTCACTGCTAAATATAAAAAATGCTCTGGAGGGTTGACTGGGAATAACACCTAATCTGAATTGTGGTGAAAAAACTGCTAAATCATTCTGATTTATACAGCAACAACTCATTATCACACCATTGTTCATCAGCTTTAATTGTAGCACAGCAGTGCCAGTGATTTTTGCCAACATCCATTCTCAGGTTATTACCCAGCTAACAATAGAGGAGAGGATTTCCTGTTGAGCTGCAAAACTTGTCAGAGGAGGATTTTCAGGATTTTACACAGTAACCATGTCCAACAACTGCTGTAATAAATTGATTACAGATAATATTTTAGGAATAATTTAAAGTCCCCGTCCAGTCAGAAATCATTTTCTCTTTTTGAATGATGTATGTTCAGGGTTTGACACTAGAAGGATGTTTTCACATTCATCTGTTGAAAGTGGAAAGTTTTTCTGTGTTCATTGAAAAGCTGATTTTAAGCGTCGGGGCCTATGAGCATGATTTGTGACATCACAAATATTTTGGAAGTAATATCAGGTCCAGTATGCAACTGTGTGATTTAGAAACTTGAAGCCACCAGTTCACATACACTGAGACATTACAGTGAGTTAAGAGTTAAAAGTTTGAATATTCATAGATTCTGTCATTTTTAATGAGGTAGAAGGAGTAGATTCCTTTTTAAAGATTTGAATGTGGAAATTATACTTTTGTGTGTAAAAAACACATCAGACAGACATTATTGTTCCAAGCAGACTATTTGTATAAATGTCTTAATGCATGTCTGTAGGGATCTTTAAACTAAAATTAATGTTCCCTCTTCTAGAAATGATATATATTTATGGGAAATAGCATCACCTAGTAGTAGTACAGTGGTACTACAGCCCCATAATAAAAATATCATTGGCTCTCTGAACATAACATGAATGAAAATTATAAGAGAAACCATCACTTTTCATTTCCTCTTTGAAAATATCAACATCAGATCAATAATAAATGTTTCCAAAGCTTCCTTAACGTTTTTCTCCAGTGATCGACATCAAGTTGGACAAACCGCAGGAGCCCCAGACTACTGAAGGCGGCTGTTCCTGTTAATACTCAGCGCCGTCCTGGGAAAAAAAAAAACATCATTTACACCACATGCTTGTTATGTTGCTTCCTATTGGTTAACCTGCAGTTGACTTTGCACGTTGAGAATCTGGCCTCCTCACCTGACTACTGGTCATCGGTTGGAACTAGCAATATGTGAATTTGGTTCTAAAGTAGTGTAGCCTACTTTATTAATGAAACTGCCAAAAAGTCTTACAACTTGCAAAAAAAAGAAGAGAAAAAGACAAAGATGTGAAACAAGATCCCCAAGTTGCATATATGGATACATTTTTTTAAGTAGAAAAGTTTCCCCAATTTCTTTTTTGTATATTTTTGTATATTCAGGGAAATCTCTCTGGAAAGGTTGTTTTTTTAAAAGATGCAAACAACTAAGCTCCGTATTTGAGAGCTGGATAGGAACAGATGGTTTCAGACGTATTTTTATGGATCTCACTCTTGTTACAGGCAAAAATGGAAGTCCTCCCAACGTTATTACCCAAATGTTAACCACACAAAACTCCTACCTGACCGGCTACATACACTTCTCCACATCTCAAGGCTTATTACCGAAACATAACCCAGCCTTCCTGTTAGGCCAATCACAGCGCTCCTGCCCATAACCCCTGTGGGATCCATAATTTTGCGTTCTAGACGTTCAAGGACAAACTGAACAGTAACATCTTGAGTATCTAATGCATGCCTAGTTTTTCAGCATAGGTACTGTCTACCAGTGTACACAAGTTTGAATATGTAAATGGTAACATTACACCAGTGACTTAATGCACTCTGATAATGACTAGTCCAAGTCTCTTTGTTTCTGATGAAAACTGAAAACTGTTGAACTGGATTTGTATACTTGACTTCAGAATATCTTTTTGTCGTGCGTGCGTGTAAATGTGTGCTTTCTGTATAGGCAACATTAGAATGCAGTTACATAGAGGGCCACTGCCAGGTTGTGTCATTCTTGCCACATTAAGGCACCATTTAGGTCACCATTTTGTTTGCAGTGTGTCATACCTTCCCCACTCACAGCAATGTGACATCTGCTGTTGCATTGTGCGATATCTTGTAGTAGTGATTATGGTAGTCTGCACATATGCTGTAAGGGAGCAGTGGAGAATCAAAGCCCTTGCCTTGTGTCACAGAGGAACACAAACACAAAGTTCCCCTTGTGGTGATCTGTAGACTTTAACGCAGGTTCTGTGATCAAAACAGGCCTTTAACATTGTAAATCAGTGCATTTCATTCCTGACAAAAGACTAATTTGCACATGTAGACCTTTCAGGTTAATATGGAGTTATGAAAAGCTTCATTGTAAATGTACAGTCACTTAATTCAAGACCTGTCTGATTGTCATAGAAACTCGTAACGTGTCCCCACTGAGATGAGGTTTTCTTTGCTGCTTGTGTTTAAACTGACTACTGACGTTGGCATTATGCAATGTTGCAATGTTGTTTGATTTTTTTTTTTTTTAGAGCCAGGTATCATAAGGTACTGGTGGTGAAGTCAACCAGTGTTGAGAACACTACTTTGATTTGACTCGTCTTTGAAGTGAAATCTTACTGCACTTTTTAAGAACATGTTTTAGAATTAGAGTGATAATGTAAGTCTTAGAAACATGGTTAAAAAATATATATCTTTATCTCCAGAACATTTGGAGTACTGTGTCTTAGAGTAGACTCGAACATTTTATGAATTGTTCACGTGTGTCCAAAAAAGGGGAGCACTCTTGTGAAAACTAGTGAACCTTTCTAACCCACATAATGAGCCAAATAATAATAATACTAAGAGACAGAGTTGGATTAAATATCACAGGAGATCTTGACTGGAACACACTCTTCTGTGGGTATGGGAATGACAAAGACAGGTTGCATTTCAAGTCAAAATCCCTCAAAATGAAAAAAGTAATCATGTACCAACCCTCTGTGTTGCTGCCTATTTATTATTTCAAAACAGGAATGTACTGCTCTCATTACCAACCACACAGCCCCGTAAGGAGAGCCCTTTTTGAGTAGAGACTCAATGGGTATTTATTTTTAACTGAGAACAAGTGATTAATTTAATTGATCAGTTACTGTAGACGTTCCTTTGTATTTATTCACCTTACATATTAAAGTCCACCTTTGTTTCCCATTTAAAGTTTAAAGTCCCATTTTAACATTCCCTGGAAATGGACCAAGTAATGCAACAAATGTCTTTGCATGTCAGGGGTCTGCATTTGAAGATGGAGGCCATGGGGGGAGGGGGGAGGGGTGTATGTTCTGTCACAGCTCTGTGCAGCAGACCCGATCAGTCCAGAGCTGGCACTCCATTCACACTGTACAGAGATCTAGCATGTCTCTCCAAATGATTAATAAAGATGTCTTATTACCAAAGTCATGCCGAATTCTCTTCTTTTTTTCCTACTTACCAAACAGGATTTTTAAAAATGGTGTGATGCTAATCTTAAATCATTTATTGTCATTATAACCAGAATGCTACCAGCTGCAATAGGCTGACTGCACAGTGTTACACCTCCCACCAACCACCTACCACATGCTGCCACCAGGATACATGGCTGCCATTGATTTTTTTTGTAGCTCTATATTCAGACAGCCATCACTGATTGTTCAGTCAGTAACCTGAGTCTCCAAGTCCCTCCTCTCTGCAGTAAACACAGAATCCATTTCTGGTACCTTGTTCCCACTTTATCCAAGTAAAATAATATCCACATTTCATGGTGTTATTCTGCATCTGTTACAATGAACACATCTTGAACATGGGTGGGTTTGATGGAGGGATACCTGAGCTCATCTGATTGGAATGTGGTGGTACATTAGACCAAAAAGGTTGGGAACTAATGGTGTAGTTACCAGTAATGAAGCAATAATTGTGTCAGCATTAAGTATTTGTACATGTTGGGGCATGGTTTACAGTTTGACACAACAACAAATCCCCAGTTTCTGTTGATGTCTACAAATAACACCTGTCACTGGAATTACCTGCTGTATTGACCTGGGCTGGATTAACCTACAAAGGGACCTTTAGGCAAAAGTGAGCTGTTGGCCCCAATAGAGCTGTTTCACAGCAGCCTTTTTGACATGAAATAGTAGGTTAAACACAGATGTTACCAACTATACCAATTAATATTCTGTTCCATTCAGAGTCAGGGTACTGCTGTTGTGCATGTTGGCTCAGTGGAAAGACACTGCTGCAATAAATGGAACCTTATTTAGTATAATTGCTAACACCTGTGTTTACCCTACTATTTCATGTCAAAATGGCTGCCGTGGAAAAGGTCTATTAATTAAGTGTAATATCAAATAAAATATTAAAGGTTTAAAACTAGATGTGGATGCTGGCCCCACCTAAAAATAAATAGACACATTCTTTGTCTAACACATTAAAAGTCAAATTATTCTTAATGCACTGTAGCTTTATTTGATAATTTGCTGTTACGGTGTTATTTGGTCTGGTATGACCAGTAGCTCATGGTGGCTAATGTTAGCTTGTGTTAGCTAATGTTAGGTAGATATTGTTGCGTGAGGAACTGAGTCAGTTTGCTGATTCTCCACTCTTCTGTACTTGGTTATAGTATAGAATATATATAACAAATATAGTCATAGCAATTACCATTATCAGGTATTTGTCACATGTTGCCACAGTGAACCCTATTAGCAAAAGTTACATAGTGTCACTTTAAGGTCCTTACCAACAAATTGTGCTTTCGTGGGGAATTTTATCTCACATTTTTAATTAATCTAATTATTGCAAATTAACTGTCGAAAAGCGAACCTGCTGACTGCGGCACTTCAGCTCCTGATTTGCTATTTTCCAAAAATACATTAACCCTGAAGGTGTGTTTCTCTTTTTTCCGAGTACTCAGAACACTCACAGAGTGCGATACACATGCTCAATAAGGAATGTACTATTGCTCGCTGTGATGGGTAGCAGTGTGGAAACAATCTTGCACCATGTTTTTATTGCATGGACGTCCCACTAGACTTCCTCCCATAAAGTGTGTGTGTATGCTGTGGCCCCTGATCTGATGACTGTGTCATTAGTCAGTCTGACCAGACCAACCTGCGGTGGTGCAATGTAACTAAATACTCAAGCACTCTAAGTACAATTTTGAGGTACTTGTACTTTATGTATTCTTTTTTATGCTACACTACTTATTCCAGAGGAAAACACTTTATTCATAATACACTTTATATCTGACAGCTGTAGTTACTTTGCAGATTAATATTTTATATACAAAATATGACAGTTACAGGGGCCATTTTGCTGCTTAATTAATAGAGTGCTTTTACTTTTAACACATTTCTCTGTTAATACTTTTGTTCTTTTATTCAGGTAAACTTCTGAATGCAGGACTCTTATATAGTATTTTGGCACTGTAGTATTGCAACTTTTACTTCAGTAAATTATCTAAGTTCTACTTCCACAAAACTGCCAACCTGCACTGCGAGTCGTTTCCTGTTCTGTTCCACCCTAATCCCAGTGATCAGCACTACGAGCACGGCACTGGGAGCCAGTAAATACATTGCGAAACTGAAACTGGTACTCTGCCATTTTCACAATCCTGCTCTGTTTGTTTGTTCCCTGCGGGGTTGCTGCCTTCCTGCTGTAGTCCAGACTGCAGCTGTGACAGCCAACACTGCTGATGCCAGTTCGTTTAGAGCTTGGATGTGGCTCCGTGTTTGGCATTGTGGAGGAGGTGATGTCACTGATAATACTTAACCGTGGGAACTCATAAATATTACTGAAAGGCCAACTGACACACCGTCTATCAAAATATGATCAAGTGTGTTTCACAGGCATACAGTTGAGACAGCCTGTTACAACTAGCTGGCTACCAAACCAGTGTGACAACTAACGGATATCTTGCTTTATCCAGTGTGTCTCCAAACAGGCAGACAGCAGTGGCCTTAATATGACTGAGACGCCAGACATTATAATACTTAACAGTGACCTTGAGCTGAGGTTTAATTCTCTTTTGGTCTGAGAATGGTCTGTGCTGTATATTTCTGAGCTGATATCTGCACATACGGTAACACAAAAGAATAAAATAATGATCCAGTAATATCTTCAAACATGGAAAACTTGCCAGATGCTCGTTGAATGGAGTTTATAATCCGCTTTCATGGTTGAACGAGTCTTTTGTGGCATGTTTTTGTTGTGCATCGAGCCCACAAAAAGTAATATTCACATTATGCTGTTCCAAAATCTCCTACTGGCTTCACTTACTCTCAGTCACTTAAATACTTAATGTGTCATATAAATGATGTACACAGTGAAGAAGAAGACTGTCACATCTTTGCTTTGAGCTCATGATTCTTTCAGATGAAGGAGCCACGTGGGACCATCAGCATTAATTAGTAAATGAAAACACAGATACAAAAACATTCTTTCAAAAATAGTTTTATTAAATACTTTGTCAGCTAGCTATCATAAATAAAAAGAACAAAAAGTTATGTTCAATGTTCAGCAGTGGCTAAAAGGGAACGTCCTCGGGAGACCATCTGTTACGAGGGGGTCTTTGGGTGTGAGTCCCACTGGGACAGCTGAACCAAATCCCACAGCACCAGCTGGGAGAATTAAGCCTAGAATAAATAAAGGGGAGACAGGGCACCTTTGGCTGGGGACAAAACAATGTCTTGACAGGAACACAAATGGATTCTCGGTCCTAACGGCCTCAACTTTCCCTCCACTGACGAGGTTGAGTCGAGTCTTCTAGCAGCGCCTACCAAATTATATCCTGAGAGGAGCTGTCACATCGTCCTACATCTGCCTCCTTTTAAACAGACTCTTCAGTCGAAAGCCGGCGCCACGATTTCATTTCCCTTTAAAAAAAACAAAAAACAAATATTAGTCCACACTTTCACTAAATGTCTCCTTGTTATTATAGCCAGCAAGTCAGAACTTACACATTACTGCCGGGCACGATCCTTTCCTGGTTCTGCTTTGTCAGACTGAACCTTCTGAAGAACGCAGGCAGTTTGAGCTTGGTTCTGGTGGACCTGGAGGAAACACTGGAAAGTAAAAGTTCCTGTGTTAGACAGTATTTCATGTGGCACTGCCGAGCTGAGGTGCTAATGAGAGGCTTTGTGGACAAACGTACTGATTAACATCGATGTGTGAATGGGTCGGTATGGCTGGAATTTTTTAGGATCCAGGTTCCAATTCTTCAAATTCAACACCAGTTTTAAAGAGATGCTACTCTCAAATTGTTTGGTGTTTGTAACATTTTCTGTCCACAGCAATAGCATGCAGTAAACCTCTAAAATTGAGGCCACTTACAAGTAAACTGAAAATCAAGAGGTCAAAGGTCACACAGTTTTCTGTTTGTAGATGTCATCTGCTTATGTAAATAGTCCTGAAACCCACGCACCAGAAAACTGAACCTATAATTGCAGAGAACCAGTTTGGGTTTTGCCCATGTACGTGTCTGCTGAACCCACCATTCTGTTTGTTGTTTAGTCTCCATCCTCTCCACCTCGGCTTCTCCTTTCAGTCCATCTTCCTCCCCCTCCTCGGCCTCCTCCTCCTCTGGTATCTGGTCCCACAGCCTGCTGTTGACCCACAGAGCTTCCTGCAGGCTGAGGCCGCGTCCTATGCAGGTCACCCGACGGCACAAAGGGCAGCCCACGGTGAGCAGCCCGCTCCTGGCCTCCGACATAGTCTCCAGACACGGGTCGCAGAAGGTGTGCCTGCAGTGGAGCACCCGGGGGATCCTGTCCATCCGGGAGTAGGGCGAGAGGCAGACGCTGCACTCGCCGTCCTCACACAGAACCATGGTCAGGCTGAAGTGAAGGACAACAGAAAGTACCGGGTTGACTGCAAGAATTAAAAGGAGTTTTTCTGGATGGTGTGGATCCTGTAAGTCCCAATAAAAAGCCACTCCACTATAGAAACTGGTAAGGTAGTGGATGGTTGCTGCAGGTCCCAAGTTCTCAGGTTGCTTCTCTCTGTTAAATAAAAATTGGATTTGTGGATGGTTATTAGATAGTGCTGCTGGATATCAATTATACACCCTATCACAGCATTAATATTTGAACGTTTTTTTTTGTTTTTCTAGCAGAATTGAACTAAAATGCATTACTTATCTTATTTATTTAAATTTTCAGAGAGATCTCTCAGATGACACTTCAATGTTATTGTTATTTCAGCCAATCAAGTCAGATATTTTGAGAGACTGTACAATACAGAGAGCAAGAGTTGAATAACACTATAATGAACATCCATACTACTAAAGATATATATTCTTAAATGAAAGAAAAAAGTTTAGAATAATAAAAATAATGTATGTCTGTGAAACGTACTTACAGTAAACTTGAAGCCTACGGAATAACGTTATTCCCAGAACAGACAGTGCTCCTTCAGACCTATTTA